TGTCCAGAATAGTAAAACCAGAGGACATGGCTTCCAATTGAAGGTGGAGAAACTCGGAACAAATCTACGCATGCGCAACCACAATTTCAGTGAACGAATAGTGAACCTGTGGAATAACCTCCCGAGGGTGACGGTTGAAGCAGGAAGTGTTGATTCTTTCGAACACAGATTAGATAGTTTTCTTTTAGGAAATAACATTGTGGGATTTAGCACATAGGTAGCTTGGGACATATGTACATGCGACCGCCAGGAAGGTGAGCTAGATGGATCATGGTCTTTTTTATAGTCCAGCAGAGACTGAGACACAGACTCAGAACTCAAGCAACAGTGTCTGTGAGGGACATGGACAAATCCAAAGATGATTATGGAGGAAGTGAGTGCCTCTCACTCACACACTTACTCACATAGACACACACACACACACTCACAGCCTGTGGTAAATGTGAGAGTTTTTATTGAATATAAAAAGCCGTTCGCAGGTTGAGAGGTGATCAGTCAAAGGAGATGGTGAAGTTCCTCTCCTGCTCCTTGCGGCGCCCGTCACACTGCTTTGAGACGTCCTCGACTTTCTTCTGGAGCAGAACTGTCAGAGGAGGAGAGTTAAAGAGCTCCACACGCAGCAAACTACAGCCGTGTACCCCACTGCCCACACACACCCCCCCATACACATACACCCCCCCACACACACACACCACCCCCCCCACACTCACACTCACCCACACACATACACCACCCGCCCCACACACATACACCCCTCCCCCCCCACACACACACTCACCCACATACATACACCCCCCACACACACACACATACACCCCCCCCACACACACACACTCACCCACACACACACCACCCCCCCACACCCATACACCACCCCCCCCCCCACACACACACTCACCCACCCACACACACCCACATACCCGAGTTCTGGTCAATCCAGTGTAAGGAGTCCATGTGCGCATTCAGGATTTTGCAGATTTGTTGCAGCTGAAAGAAGAAGAAAGTGACAAAAGTTCCCGAACTTGACACATCACACCTTCACCCCCCCCCTGCCCCCCCCACACACACAACAGCCCCCCACCCGTCTCCCCCCCCACCCACCCACCCACACAACAGCCCCCACCCGTCTCCCCCCGCACCCACCCACACAACAGCCGCCCACCCGGCTCCCCCCACCCCCACTTACATCACACCCTTCCCATCTTCCTCACCCGCCCCCACAAACACACAACACCCTCCCACACATACACCCTCCCTGCCCTCCCCCCCCATGCACACATCATCCCCATTCCTGTCCCCCACCACCCACACAACACACCCTAACCTTCCCCCCCCCCACAGTAACACTCACAGGATCACTGATCTCAGAGCAGCCGCTGGAGGTGTTCAGGTGCTGGATAATCTCCTTCAGGTCCTGAGCCATTCTCTTCAGTTGAGCGTCAATATTCTCTGCCAGTTTATACCTAGTCAGTGAGACACACAACAGCTCCTGTTACAGCAACAAGGTGGGGGGGGGGGTGTATTGTGAGTGGGGGGATGTAGTGGGTGGAGGGGGGTGGAGGGTGTGTAGTGGGTGGGAGCTGTTATTGGTTGGTGGTTGTAGTGGGGGGAGGGGGGTGTAGTGGATGGAGGGGAGGTGCAGTGGGTGGAGAGGTGCAGTGGGTGGAGAGGTGCAGTGGGTGGAGGGGGATGCAGTGGGTGGGCAAGGGGTGACCTGTGCCTATCACGTACGTGCGCTCTCGCTCCTCGTCGGCGTGCTGCAGGTAGATGGTGCCGTTCTGGTCCTTGACCGATTCCTCCAGCGGCACCAACAGGTCCTCCAGCTCCTTCTGCTGCGACAGAATGAAATCCAGCTCCTGGTCCAGCCTGGGGCACAGGGTCCTGAGTTAGTCCTGAGCCAGCACCGAGACCAGGCCAGGCCATCAGCACAGTATGATAGCGAGAGCACAATCCTGTACTTCGTGTGCGCGTGAGCGGGTGGGTGGGCCCGCACGGCGACTGCTGTGTGAGCGGATGCTGTGTGTGTGAGCGGGTGCTGTGCGTGAGCGGGGTGCTGCGCGGGTGCTGCGCGTGAGCAGGGTGCTGAGCGAGAGCGGGTGATAACCCAATCCCCACTCACACAACACCCACTCCCCACCCCACACAGCACCCACTCCCCACCCCACACAGCACCCACTCCCCACCCCACACAGCACCCACTCCCCACCCCACACACAGCACCCATTTCCCCCCACACACACAGCATCCATTCCCACACACACACACAAAGCACCTATTACCCCCCCCGCCACACATACAGCACCCACTCCCCCACCCACACAGCACCCACTCCCACCCTATGCATACATACAGCACCCCCCACCCACCCCTCCCATCACTGTCAGTGTAGGAGCAGCCCCAGATCGCAGACTCACCTCTTCTGATCCAGTTTGACTTTCTCCACTTGCCGGTGCAAGGCTGTGATCTGTAAACAAGGAGCAATGAGCAAGTCAGGGACATTGGGAGGTTCACTGCATGGGAGGGAGGGAGGGAGGCGATGGCCATGTTTCAGACAAGTGTATTTGCAAACCAGTAAAAACAGCCAATACACTGAAACATCAGCTTCAGTTCATGTCAGTGCATCAGGAGGCAGCACAAGATGGGAGTGTGTGTTGGGTTAACCGCTGGAGTCCAACCAGCTAAAACCATTTAGTTCACCATTGTGAGCGCTGTCTGGCCAGCTTCCCACTGCTTGTCTGGCCAGGATTACCAGGAGCCTCCCACCTGACTGGCTGCCCCTCCAAGTCGCTCACTGAGCCAGGCTCGGGGTCTGTTGCGAGATGTACCTTAATTACAATACTAATCCTGGCATTTGATACAGCGCCCAATCACGCCATCGAGACGTCAGAAAACTCTTCACAGGATACACTGTAAAGCCAATGACCATATTTTGAGAGTGGAACACAGCAGCCAATTTCACACAGTAGTGTCCCCACTAACAGTCATGGATTGCAGTGACCACATGGCCCCATGGCAAACACCCAGCACCAGAGAGCCCCCCCAGGTCAGGCAGGTTGTCAGGGTAACGTGACTCATGGACTGACCTTCTCCCCGTTCTCGATCAGCATGCGATCCCAGGCATTGACCTGTGTGGCCTGCTGCAGGAAGTGCTTCTCCTGATCCTCCAGCTCCACACTCCATTTGTTGATCAGACTCTCCAGCTGGGTGTAGGACATCACCGGCGGTGAGCTGCCGAGAGAGCGAGAGGGGAGAGAGAGAGAAAGAGCGAGAGGAGAGAGAGGAAAAAGACAGTTTTGAATGACATGAAGCACCCCACCCCACAGTCATTCCCGTGTATTAGAATGGAATAATAACCCTTGCATATGATATAGCGCTTTGCAAACACTCTCCCCAGAGAGAAGCACCCGGCTTACTTAATCCCTCACAGTATTAGGTACAGGTTGACAAGAATGAGTCTTAGCAATCCTAGAATGTGCGTTGGGGTAAATGCTGGAGTTCAACCAGCTAAAACGCACAGCTTTGCATTGAGAGCCTTGTCTGACAAGCTTCCTGCTATTTGCCCAGCAACAATTACATTTGTACAGCACCTTTCACGTTGGGAGGACGTCCCAAAGCACTGGACAGGAGGGTTGGAGGGCAGCGAGGAAGGGGATAGGTGGGTGACCGAAGACACAGTTGAAGAGGGTCTTGAGACGTGCCATGAAGGAGGCAAGGGAGTGGCGAAACTAAGGGACTGTGGGATTGAGTTCCAAAGGTTGGAGACAGAGAGGCTGAAGGCCCAACAGCCGATGGTGGGGCGGGGAATGCAGAGGACATGGAGCAGACCGGAGGCCGCTGAGCGGAGGGAGTGGACAGGTCTATATGGGGTCAGCAGGTCACAGAGGTAGGAAGGAGCAAGACTGTGACAGGCTTTGAAAGGCGAGGACGATGGTTTTGAACTGTATCCTCTGGGGACGGGGAGCCAGTGGAGCCGGGCAAGGTGGTGTTGATGGGGTCAAGGAGCCTGGAGTTAGAGGAGTCGAGCCTGGGTGTGCTGTATGAGTGGCTGAGGGTCTCGGCAGCCTGAGGGGAGAGGCAGCTCGGACAAGAGGAATACAGGCCACCAGTGGGAGAGGGAAGGAGGGAGGTAATCGGGGCCCCTCTCATGTCCAGGCCCTGGGCTAGTGTGTCAGCAGGTACCTCACAATCATGTAGCTCAGGAACTGGGCTGGAGTCCACAACACTTGTGCTAATATTCTGTTGCCAACCATGTCAGCCCCCACCCAGGAGGAGGAAACATTGGTTTACGTTAGAGAATCCCAGGCCCCACCACCCTGTCTAGTCTGTCCCAGAAATACTTGTGTATCTTATTTTTGGTCATTGAATTCATGGCTCTTTGTGGGATGTTCCTGGTGCAATTTGGCTGCCGCATTCACTGCACTTCTGTGGTCAACAATTATTCTCATGCAGCGCTTTGAGATGATCTACGGAACTAAAAGACGCTGTATCAAATGTCCCATCAAATTAATAACATTTACATAATAACTTGCACACAGCAGCACCCCACAAACAGTTATGTGACTCCACTGTACAAAAAGGGACAGAAGAACAAAGCTGGGAACTCCAGGCCAGTCAGCCTAACATCAGTAGTGGGGAAACTCCTGGAGACTATAATCCGGGACAGAATAAATCTTCACTTAGAAGAATATGGGTTAATAGGGACAGCCAACATGGATTTGTTAAAGATAAATCTTGTCTAACAAATCTAATAGAATTTTTTGATGAGGTAATGGAGAGGGTGGATACAGGTAGTGCAGTTGATGTCGTTTATATGGACTTTCAAAAGGCATTTGACAAAGTGCCATATGAAAGACTTGTAAGAAAGATAGAAGCCCATGGTATAAAAGGGACAGTGGCAGCGGATCCAGAACTCACTGGGAGACAGAAAGCAGAGAGTTGTGGTGAACGGCTGCTTTTCTGACTGGAGGGAAGTGTACAGTGGTGTCCCCCAGGGATTGGTATTAGGACCACTGCTCTTCTTAATATACATAAATGATCTGGACTTGGGTATAGCAAGTACCATTTCCAAGTTTGCGGATGACACAAAGTTAGGGAGGGGGTAAACAGTGAGAAGGACAGGAGCCAACTGCAGGAAGACAGAGACAGAATGGTAAAATGGGCGACACATGGCAGATGAGTTTCAATGTGGAGGTAATGCATTTTGGTAGAAAGAATGAGGGGAGCAATTTAGGCGGTAATACAATCTTAAGGGGGTGAAGGAACAGAGAGACCTGGGGGTTCAGGTAAATGAATCCTTGAAGGTGGCAGGACAGGGAGATACAGCTGTAAAAAGGGCAAATGGGATACTAGGCTTTATAAATAGGGGCATAGAGTACAAGAGTCAGGAGGTTATGATTAACCTCTATAAAACACTGGTTAGGCCTCAGTTAGAATACTGCGCCCAGTTCTGGGCACCACACTATAGGAAGGATGTTAAGGCATTGGAAAGGGTGCAGAGGAGATTTACGAGGATGGTACCAGGAATGAGGGACCGTGATGATGAGGAAAGGCTGGGGAGGCGAGGATTATTCTCATTGGAGCAGAGAAGGTTACGAGGAGATCTAATAGAGGTCTTCAAAATCATGAGGGGATTTGATAGGTTAGAAAGGGAAAAACTGTTCCCACTGGTGGGTGTGTCGGTGACTCAAGGTCACAGATTCAAAATAGTCTCTAAAAGAAGCCGAGGGGAGAGGTGAGAAGAAATGTTTTCACGCAGCGAGTTGTTCGAACCTGGAACGCATTGCCTGAAAGGGCGGTCGAGGCCGATTCGATAACTACTTTTAAAAACGCGGTGGACGGGTATTTGAGGACAGGTTTGCAGGGTTATGGGGAGAGGGCTGGGGAGTGGGATTGACATTAATTGCTCTTTTCAAAGAGCCACACAAACTCGATGGGCCGAATGGCCTCTTTTTGTGCTGTACGATTCTATGATTCTATGAGGTCAATGACCGATTTTATCTGGAGATGGTTGGCCAGGACACTGGGAATTCTTGTAATTATATTGTCTTGAAGTCTGAAAATATTCCTTTGACCCTACTTTGTTCTGCCTTCAAACTCCCTGTCCCCCTGACCACAATCAGTGCCAGAGACGCTTACGTAAAAAATGTTTGTTTTTGAAAAGCTATAAAACACACATTTCCTTTACCCACAGAGCTATCAGGTGGCCAAACACCAGCAACGTCTGTGATGATGGCTCTTACCAACCTGAGCTTAATAATCTCAGGAATTAGGTAAGCAGGATCCTCCCTCCAAGGAGAGAGTGCATTCCATTCCAACAATCTAGCTCTGGGATTTCCATGTGTAGGTGGGAAGCAGGGAATTCTGAGTTTGGTTTGGATACTCCTAAGCAGGTGATGGGCTTCCGTTTGTATCAAGACACCTGGCTGATCACGGTGACCGGTTTCTGTGTTTCAGACACAGTCAGGCAAAAAACAATGAGCTCAGGTTTCTGGTGATGCTCAGGAATTTCATCCTGTTGTATAAACTCCGGAAGTTTTAAGTGCATCAAAATGTCCAAATTGTCATTGTAATTTACCCCAAACTGAACCACACCCTCGCCTGAGGTTATCATTGCTGACAAAATCATCAACACACTTGCACACAGTCTGAACAGTGGCTTTGGAAGAAATGTCAGGAAATGGTCCCTCCCCCAACCTGTCCTACCTGCTGCTGGTGGCTGTGGTGGTGGCACAGGCTGTAGACACAGAGGCTGGTGTCAGGGTGCTTGTGGTCACAGTTGGGGCAGCAGACGCTGCTAGTGAGAAGCTGGCCGGTGTCTTCACACCCAGAGAGAAGCCACTGGTGGCAGCAGCAGCTGCCGTGGGAGCTGTAAACACACAGTTACTGGGGTTTGTGCAGCCAGGACAAAGGCAGCACTTTATATACCATACCTTCATACAATAGCACTGTAACATCACCTCGTATTCAACACGCAATACAGTGGAGGCCCCTCAAACCAGACTCTCAGGAACGGCCAATTTGTCCATCTTAGGCAGCGTCCAAGGTTAAACAACCTCTTCCCACTCAGCGGCAGTGCCTCCGCCTCCTACTGCCCTTAACATTGGATGGGAAGGGGACCAATTAACAGCGGCTCCCATGTGATTGACAGCCTGCAGGGACTCCAGCCAATCACAAGCGGCTCCGGCTGTCAATCAATCACGGTTTGGCTCCTCTCATCTCCATCCCGGAGTCGCTGGACACACGAGCCATGACCAGAGGGATTCTGCCCGGATTAACCAGATTTCTGTCTGAATGATCCGGCAAATTTAAAACAGGTGAGAACCCAAACAACAAAACCCTGCAGATGGTGGAAATCTGCAATAAAACCAGCCGCGGCTGAGACCCTCAGCAGGTCAGGCAGCATCGATGGAGAGAGGAAAGTGAGGTCACATTTCAGGTCAATGACCAAATATCGCTGGTGCCAAAGGTCATTGATCTGAAATGTGAAGTCACTGTCCGCTCTCCATCGATGCTGCCTGACCTGCTGAGGGTCTCAGCCGCGGCTGGTTTTTGCAGACCGCAAATGAATTGGGGCCGAGCGTTTTGTCCTGTTTACCCGGTAGCATCCAGCTGAAGAAGTACTTCCTATCATCACATGGATGGACTTCTCTATGCACCAGGCTCCTGCCAGGCCCATGGTGAACCACCGGACTTACACTCAGGGCTAGTTACAGCCCCACGGAGCACGTACCTGTGCTGGTTGCTGTGGTCACGGTCAGCGCTGTAGCCGTCGGCTTAAACCCAAAGCCAGCAGATAGTGTGGGAGCCGCAGGTGTCGTCACTGCAGGGAAAGATTCAAGTGGTTTATTTCATAAAATAGGAAAGCTCAGGACAGATGCTCTCTGTGAGTTGCCAGTGATTTGCTGCTCGCTACACTCCACAACACCTCCCTCCACAAGCTGCAGATCACCCAGAACTCTGCAGCCCGTGTCCTCTCCTGCACCAGGCTCCGTGACCCTATCCCCCCATCCTCACCCGGTTCCACTGGCTTCCCATCACACACAGGATACAGTTCAAGATCCTTGTCCTCACCTTTAAAGCCCTCCATGGTCTTGCTCCTCCCTACCTTCACCACCTGCATCTCCCTCTACAGTTGGTCTCTCTCTCCCCGCTCCACACTGTTGAGGAAGCGCTTCATTGTCCATCACATGAGACACTAACCCAAGGTCCCGTCTGCCTGTTCAAGTGGCCATTAAAAATCAAAAGACTCAAAAGGAGTTTTTCCCCAGTGTTCTGCCCAAACATTCTCCAGATAAAATGAGTTACTGTAGTTTCCAGTGAAGCTCTCAAGAGCCATGATAAGCCGCTATATGAAATGTAATCGTGAAGATTATAGACAGAGTTGGAGCCCGAGATACAAAAGCGTCAGCAATAACGAAAACCACCTGCGACTTATTGATGCTCAGCTGAAGGAAGGTAAGGGCTGGTGTACAGTGTGAGCGTAACCGAGGTGAGGGCCAAGCAGGGAAGCAGGTAATAAAGGAGAATAAAAATAATAATGATGCGAGAAGCCATTGGAAGAATAAATGAAGTGATGAGATGAGTCAGCACACGGCAACGTCACCACTGCTGACCCGCTCAGACTGAATGTCTCTAAATGAACTCACGTGAGAAGCCAGTTGTGGCCGAGGCCGGGAGCACAGAGGCCAAGAGCGGGAGACCTGAGGCCACAGCAGCTGGAGCTGGTCCCGTGGTTACAAAAAACACAACAACAGTGAGTCAACCTGATACACATGGCGGGGGAGAGAGAGAAAAAAGAGCACAGGTAGGGGAGGAGAGGGGAGGGGGGAAAAGAGGCGAGGCGTGTGAGGGGAAGCGAAGTGTGTGGGGCGAGGAGAGGCATGTGGAGGGAGTGGGGAGGGAGTGGGGCTCACGTTGGGGGAGGGGCTCAGGTGAGGGGGGGGGGAGGAGTGGTTAGAGCGCGGGTGATGGAGGGTAAAGTCACTGCGGAACAGTGCTGGAGGCGGTCACCCTCTTAATCCCCCAGCCCCTCACCCCTCCCACCCGCTACCCAGCCCTTCACCACCCGCTCCCCAGCTCCTCACCCGCTCCCCAGCCCCTCACCCGCTTCCTCAGGCCCTCACCCCCCCCTCACCCGCTCCCCAGCCCCTCACCCCTCCTGTCCCTAACCACCATCTCAGGTGCAGATCCCTGACTGTCAGCGCCTCCTCCAGGACATCCTCCTGATGTGAATGTGATTAGTTGTTGTTGACAATGAAGCACCGGATACCCACCTGGTGACTTTGTGGTAAAGCCCAAGCCCTGGGATGTGGGAGCTGTCACCACAGTGGATGCTGGTGCAGCCATCGCTGCTCCAAAACTGAAGCCTGGTGAGGCAAAATAAACATCAAGGCCATTGAAACATTCAGCCCATTGTGTCTGCGCCGCCTCTTAACAGTAATAATCATCCTTGTATTTGATATGGCGCAGCATCACTTTAGTGAAACGTCTCAAACGCTTCACAGAATATAAAGTGATTTGAGTGTGTATTTTGTGGGCAAAATACACCAGTCAATTGCACAGCAGCGTCCCACAAACAGTCATGAAATGAGTGAGTAACCGACTAACAACCGGGTTCTTACTACTGGGTAAACAGTGGCTGTGGAGTAAAATATAGATTAACTTCCAGCATCTACTCCAACACACACTCTGGAACTCTGTGCTTCCCCATATTCAGATCACTTTACAGTAATAATAATATTCCTTGCATTTGACACAGCTCACCCACTCGCATTTCTCTCCATATAGTGCAGGCTGACACTCGAATGCAGTGCTGGGAAGAGCCCTATTGTTGTAGGAGCTGTCCTTCACATGAGATGCTGATGGATATCTTATCTGCCTGTTCAGTTGGAGATTTAAGCCTCTGTAGCATTATTGGAAAAGAGTAGGAAGTTTCTCTCTTTCCCGGTGTCCTGTCCAACAATCCCCCAAATATGATTGGTGGCTCACTCACACCATGGCTGTGTGTGGAACATGTTCGCCTGCAAGTTTCCGTCCCAGTGTTTTGCAGTGAACCTTGTGAAGCGCTTTGAGACATCACCCAACAATGATTGTAAGAGTTATTGTTATTAAAGCTCAATGACCCACCTGCAGGCTGTGTGCCAGTCGGCTTTACTGTGGCTGTGGTTGGCACAGACGCTCCACAGCTGAAGCTGCTTGTTGCTGGTGCTGCTCCGCTGGCTCCGAAGCTGAATGCGTTTGCTGTGGTCTGTGCTGTGCCGGCCGGCACCGCGGTGAAGCCAAACCCAGTGGACGGTGTAGCCTGGACCGCGGAGCTGTTAGTGAGACTAAAGCCCCCGCCTGCTGTCTGGGCTGGAATGTTGCAAAAACTGAAGCCAGTTGAAGCAGCTGTTTGTGCGGGAGGCGCGACAGAGAGAGAGAAGCCGACGGTGGTGGAGGCTGTGCCTGGGGCCAGGGTCGGGGCCGGGGCGGGGGTGTTGCTGAAGGAGAAGCCACCAGCCTGGCCGGAGGAGCTGCTGCCAAAGCCCAAGGTACCCTTGTTCATCCTGAAGAACAAGAACAATGCAGGAAGGTGACAAGCGATCACAGGTCCTCACAGCTATCACAGGGTACCTTCTGTGCCTCAACAGGGGTACCTGCTCTGAAAGCTTAAGCTTTAAGGGCTCACATTTCTCATTGGTGCATATAATGCAGCAAATTGTCATCCTACATAGTTTTTGTATCACACTGTGTAAACTAAGCAGCACAGGAGAGTGTTGGATAGTGAGCAGTGCAGCCATCCCATCCCAACATTCTGTTCCACTGGAAGCACATTCAGCCGGGAGTCAAGTATTATATTTTGCAAATTTGCAATTAACACACAAAACCAGTTGCAAAGGTTACAAATGACACCCAGACACCCTCAGCTTTGCCAAGTCCCCTCTCACACACAGCTTATGAAGAGAGACTTAAAGATTTAAAGTTATTTAACACTAAAAGGGAGGACATTTAAGAATAACAAGTAATAGATTATTCACATTGGCAGTCAGTGATGAGACACATTACAATAAATCTCAAAACGAATGCAATAGGAGATTATAAAATACTGCAGAGAAAGAGAATTCTAACCACTGTAGTGAAAGGAAAATCCCGGAAAGAAGTTGATTCTTAAGGAAAAGCAATATTAGAGGTTTTGGGAAGAGTGTGGAAATCGATTGGCTCATATTGAGAAAAATACCAGAGTAAATTGGATACTGTTTCTGTAACACTGAAGGACAGAAAGAAACCAGGAACCTAAAGCATCAGGTTCTCCTCAATGGGATGCAGTTTGATGTTATGGTGTTTACATGGCAGAGTATTTTGTTTGTTCATTCGGGTGTCTGACACACATGGAAACCCATCCCCAGGCTGAACAGCCTCTAAATTAAACTACAAAATATGCAGGAAAATTTCCATTTGTCTCTCTCGCACCTAATTCAAGCTCCAATTTCGACCTATTTGGAGATAGGACCTCTCAGCATCTCCGTCCAACACAGCTGTGAGCTCATCCCATCCGGAAAATGTTTGCAGCGGATCCCATCTGCCCAGCGAGAACAAGTGGCTGAGATTCAGCCCTTTCTGAAGAATCCTTGTGGTTTGACTAACACTCACTGATGGGCTGAATTTAGTCTCTTCAACTGCTCCCTTAGCAGTGCAATTTTTTAGAAGTAGTTTCTGACCAGTGCACAAGCGCTTTTGGTCATCCTTCCACCCCCCCCCTTAGGGACTATTTTAGTGAGCAGCAGCTTTGTGCCGCGGGCGGATTATTACACGTGTGCCGTGTGTATTATTACACGTGTGCCGTGCGTATTATTACACGTGTGCCGTGCGTATTATTACGTGTGCAGTGTGTATTATTATGTGTGCCGTATTATTACACGTGTGCCGTGTGTATTTTCCTGTAAAGATTCTCTCTGTACAACATAAAATACTTTGAAGTAATTAAAAAGGCTCTAAAAATGGACCTCAAAATGACAGGAGCAGCCAGTCTCCTTTACCTTGGCGGACTTTCTTGGACCTTCTTGGACCTTCATCTCCTCTGCCCCCACCCTTTAGAACTCCCTTGCCTTCTTCAAGGCCCATCTTGAGACACTCCTTTTCGACCACGCCTTCGGACACCCTCCTACCCTGTCCGTCCTTGCCCTTCACCTCTCCTGATCCAAACCACTAACTCGGGTGCAAATCTTTGACTGTCCAGCACTTTGGGACATCCTCCCGACGTGAAAGGAGCTTTACAAATGTAAGAAGGCTGTTCGGCTCATTGTTTCTGTGTTGTTCTTTGATAGAGCAAACCATTCAGACCCGTTGTCTTGTCTTTGCCCCTAGCCCTGCACATTACTCCTCTTTAGATATCTGTCTAGCTCCTTGCCAATACTCTCCGTGGTTCGGTAAGCAGAATGCTTCCCTCCAGGAGAAGAGTGCACATTCCATCCCAGGCCCAGGCAAATGTCGATGTGTCTTTGGCAACATATGTAGAACTCTGACTGGCTTGGATTCTCTTAGTCTGCTGATGAGATGCACATATCAGACATCCAACTGACCAAAATTAATCTTGGAAGCTGATATAGATCCTGCCTTGACCCTTGGGACTGGCAAGGCATTGCACAGCCTAACAACTCTCTGCATAAACAATTGCTCGTATTCTCCCCGTTCAGAAGAACAAGGGAAATGGAGTAGTGGACGAGAAAATAAATCAAGTTATTTCTATCACTTTACTGCAGGGATGATGTGTAGAGCAGTGCCGACCACACTACTGGTCTAGATTAGAGCATCGGCATGTACTGATTTCTCTTTAAACAGAACCTGCCGATAGAAAACCTACCAACAAGGATATCTGGGCAGAGGAGGAAGTGCTGGAGGGAGCAGAGTTTGATGACATCTGGGACAAGAGGCAGCAGCCCGAGTAAGTGATGTCAGAGTGTGAAGCAGTGATTGCCATCCATTCCGTCAGGTTTAGTCCATTCCTGTCACTGTGCTGATACAGCAAACCATTCAGAGAAATGTCCGTGGCAATGTATATGGGACTCTGTCTGGTCTGGATCCCTTGACAGGATGCACATGTCAGACATCCAACTGACCAAAAGAAATCTTGGAAACTAATCCAAATCCTGTCTTGACCCCCAGTCAAGTGGGTGACTTTTTAACCCACAAAATATACAGTCAATTCACTTTACAGTATATTCTGTAAAGCGCTTTGAGACGTCTCAAAGATGTGATCAGACACTAAATAAAATGCAAGGAGTTTCAATGTGGAGGTAATGCATTTTGGTAGAAAGAATGAGGGGAGCAATTTAGGCGGTAATACAATCTTAAGGGGGTGAAGGAACAGAGAGACCTGGGGGTTCAGGTAAATGAATCCTTGAAGGTGGCAGGACAGGAGATAAGCTGTAAAAAGGGCAATGGGATACTAGGCTTTATAAAAGGGGCATAGAGTACAAGAGTCAGGAGGTTATGATTAACCTCTATAAAACACTGGTTAGGCCTCAGTTAGAATACTGCGCCCAGTTCTGGGCACCACACTATAGGAAGGATGTTAAGGCATTGGAAAGGGTGCAGAGGAGATTTACGAGGATGGTACCAGGAATGAGGGACCGTGATGATGAGGAAAGGCTGGAGGCGAGGATTATTCTCATTGGAGCAGAGAAGGTTACGAGGAGACTAATAGAGGTCTTCAAAATCATGAGGGGATTTGATAGGTTAGAAAGGGAAAAACTGTTCCCACTGGTGGGTGTGTCGGTGACTCAAGGTCACAGATTCAAAATAGTCTCTAAAAGAAGCCGAGGGGAGAGGTGAGAAGAAATTTTTCACGCAACGATTTTTTCAATCTGGAACGCATTGCCTGAAAGGGCGGTCGAGGCCGATTCGATAACTACTTTTAAAAACGCGGTGGACGGGTATTTGAGGACAGGTTTGCAGGGTTATGGGGAGAGGGCTGGGGAGTGGGATTGACATTAATTGCTCTTTTCAAAGAGCCACACAAACTCGATGGGCCGAATGGCCTCTTTTTGTGCTGTACGATTCTATGATTCTATGAGGTCAATGACCGATTTTATCTGGAGATGGTTGGCCAGGACACTGGGAATTCTTGTAATTATATTGTCTTGAAGTCTGAAAATATTCCTTTGACCCTACTTTGTTCTGCCTTCAAACTCCCTGTCCCCCTGACCACAATCAGTGCCAGAGACGCTTACGTAAAAAATGTTTGTTTTTGAAAAGCTATAAAACACACATTTCCTTTACCCACAGAGCTATCAGGTGGCCAAACACCAGCAACGTCTGTGATGATGGCTCTTACCAACCTGAGCTTAATAATCTCAGGAATTAGGTAAGCAGGATCCTCCCTCCAAGGAGAGAGTGCATTCCATTCCAACAATCTAGCTCTGGGATTTCCATGTGTAGGTGGGAAGCAGGGAATTCTGAGTTTGGTTTGGATACTCCTAAGCAGGTGATGGGCTTCCGTTTGTATCAAGACACCTGGCTGATCACGGTGACCGGTTTCTGTGTTTCAGACACAGTCAGGCAAAAAACAATGAGCTCAGGTTTCTGGTGATGCTCAGGAATTTCATCCTGTTGTATAAACTCCGGAAGTTTTAAGTGCATCAAAATGTCCAAATTGTCATTGTAATTTACCCCAAACTGAACCACACCCTCGCCTGAGGTTATCATTGCTGACAAAATCATCAACACACTTGCACACAGTCTGAACAGTGGCTTTGGAAGAAATGTCAGGAAATGGTCCCTCCCCCAACCTGTCCTACTGCTGCTGGTGGCTGTGGTGGTGGCACAGGCTGTAGACACAGAGGCTGGTGTCAGGGTGCTTGTGGTCACAGTTGGGGCAGCAGACGCTGCTAGTGAGAAGCTGGCCGGTGTCTTCACACCCAGAGAGAAGCCACTGGTGGCAGCAGCAGCTGCCGTGGGAGCTGTAAACACACAGTTACTGGGGTTTGTGCAGCCAGGACAAAGGCAGCACTTTATATACCATACCTTCATACAATAGCACTGTAACATCACCTCGTATTCAACACGCAATACAGTGGAGGCCCCTCAAACCAGACTCTCAGGAACGGCCAATTTGTCCATCTTAGGCAGCGTCCAAGGTTAAACAACCTCTTCCCACTCAGCGGCAGTGCCTCCGCCTCCTACTGCCCTTAACATTGGATGGGAAGGGGACCAATTAACAGCGGCTCCCATGTGATTGACAGCCTGCAGGGACTCCAGCCAATCACAAGCGGCTCCGGCTGTCAATCAATCACGGTTTGGCTCCTCTCATCTCCATCCCGGAGTCGCTGGACACACGAGCCATGACCAGAGGGATTCTGCCCGGATTAACCAGATTTCTGTCTGAATGATCCGGCAAATTTAAAACAGGTGAGAACCCAAACAACAAAACCCTGCAGATGGTGGAAATCTGCAATAAAACCAGCCGCGGCTGAGACCCTCAGCAGGTCAGGCAGCATCGATGGAGAGAGGAAAGTGAGGTCACATTTCAGGTCAATGACCAAATATCGCTGGTGCCAAAGGTCATTGATCTGAAATGTGAAGTCACTGTCCGCTCTCCATCGATGCTGCCTGACCTGCTGAGGGTCTCAGCCGCGGCTGGTTTTTGCAGACCGCAAATGAATTGGGGCCGAGCGTTTTGTCCTGTTTACCCGGTAGCATCCAGCTGAAGAAGTACTTCCTATCATCACATGGATGGACTTCTCTATGCACCAGGCTCCTGCCAGGCCCATGGTGAACCACCGGACTTACACTCAGGGCTAGTTACAGCCCCACGGAGCACGTACCTGTGCTGGTTGCTGTGGTCACGGTCAGCGCTGTAGCCGTCGGCTTAAACCCAAAGCCAGCAGATAGTGTGGGAGCCGCAGGTGTCGTCACTGCAGGGAAAGATTCAAGTGGTTTATTTCATAAAATAGGAAAGCTCAGGACAGATGCTCTCTGTGAGTTGCCAGTGATTTGCTGCTCGCTACACTCCACAACACCTCCCTCCACAAGCTGCAGATCACCCAGAACTCTGCAGCCCGTGTCCTCTCCTGCACCAGGCTCCGTGACCCTATCCCCCCATCCTCACCCGGTTCCACTGGCTTCCCATCACACACAGGATACAGTTCAAGATCCTTGTCCTCACCTTTAAAGCCCTCCATGGTCTTGCTCCTCCCTACCTTCACCACCTGCATCTCCCTCTACAGTTGGTCTCTCTCTCCCCGCTCCACACTGTTGAGGAAGCGCTTCATTGTCCATCACATGAGACACTAACCCAAGGTCCCGTCTGCCTGTTCAAGTGGCCATTAAAAATCAAAAGACTCAAAAGGAGTTTTTCCCCAGTGTTCTGCCCAAACATTCTCCAGATAAAATGAGTTACTGTAGTTTCCAGTGAAGCTCTCAAGAGCCATGATAAGCCGCTATATGAAATGTAATCGTGAAGATTATAGACAGAGTTGGAGCCCGAGATACAAAAGCGTCAGCAATAACGAAAACCACCTGCGACTTATTGATGCTCAGCTGAAGGAAGGTAAGGGCTGGTGTACAGTGTGAGCGTAACCGAGGTGAGGGCCAAGCAGGGAAGCAGGTAATAAAGGAGAATAAAAATAATAATGATGCGAGAAGCCATTGGAAGAATAAATGAAGTGATGAGATGAGTCAGCACACGGCAACGTCACCACTGCTGACCCGCTCAGACTGAATGTCTCTAAATGAACTCACGTGAGAAGCCAGTTGTGGCCGAGGCCGGGAGCACAGAGGCCAAGAGCGGGAGACCTGAGGCCACAGCAGCTGGAGCTGGTCCCGTGGTTACAAAAAACACAACAACAGTGAGTCAACCTGATACACATGGCGGGGGAGAGAGAGAAAAAAGAGCACAGGTAGGGGAGGAGAGGGGAGGGGGGAAAAGAGGCGAGGCGTGTGAGGGGAAGCGAAGTGTGTGGGGCGAGGAGAGGCATGTGGAGGGAGTGGGGAGGGAGTGGGGCTCACGTTGGGGGAGGGGCTCAGGTGAGGGGGGGGGGAGGAGTGGTTAGAGCGCGGGTGATGGAGGGTAAAGTCACTGCGGAACAGTGCTGGAGGCGGTCACCCTCTTAATCCCCCAGCCCCTCACCCCTCCCACCCGCTACCCAGCCCTTCACCACCCGCTCCCCAGCTCCTCACCCGCTCCCCAGCCCTCACCCGCTTCCTCAGGCCCTCACCCCCCTCACCCGCTCCCCAGCCCCTCACCCCTCCTGTCCCTAACCACCATCTCAGGTGCAGATCCCTGACTGTCAGCGCCTCCTCCAGGACATCCTCCTGATGTGAATGTGATTAGTTGTTGTTGACAATGAAGCACCGGATACCCACCTGGTGACTTTGTGGTAAAGCCCAAGCCCTGGGATGTGGGAGCTGTCACCACAGTGGATGCTGGTGCAGCCATCGCTGCTCCAAAACTGAAGCCTGGTGAGGCAAAATAAACATCAAGGCCATTGAAACATTCAGCCCATTGTGTCTGCGCCGCCTCTTAACAGTAATAATCATCCTTGTATTTGATATGGCGCAGCATCACTTTAGTGAAACGTCTCAAACGCTTCACAGAATATAAAGTGATTTGAGTGTGTATTTTGTGGGCAAAATACACCAGTCAATTGCACAGCAGCGTCCCACAAACAGTCATGAAATGAGTGAGTAACCGACTAACAACCGGGTTCTTACTACTGGGTAAACAGTGGCTGTGGAGTAAAATATAGATTAACTTCCAGCATCTACTCCAACACACACTCTGGAACTCTGTGCTTCCCCATATTCAGATCACTTTACAGTAATAATAATATTCCTTGCATTTGACACAGCTCACCCACTCGCATTTCTCTCCATATAGTGCAGGCTGACACTCGAATGCAGTGCTGGGAAGAGCCCTATTGTTGTAGGAGCTGTCCTTCACATGAGATGCTGATGGATATCTTATCTGCCTGTTCAGTTGGAGATTTAAGCCTCTGTAGCATTATTGGAAAAGAGTAGGAAGTTTCTCTCTTTCCGGTGTCCTGTCCAACAATCCCCCAAATATGATTGGTGGCTCACTCACACCATGGCTGTGTGTGGAACATGTTCGCCTGCAAGTTTCCGTCCCAGTGTTTTGCAGTGAACCTTGTGAAGCGCTTTGAGACATCACCCAACAATGATTGTAAGAGTTATTGTTATTAAAGCTCAATGACCCACCTGCAGGCTGTGTGCCAGTCGGCTTTACTGTGGCTGTGGTTGGCACAGACGCTCCACAGCTGAAGCTGCTTGTTGCTGGTGCTGCTCCGCTGGCTCCGAAGCTGAATGCGTTTGCTGTGGTCTGTGCTGTGCCGGCCGGCACCGCGGTGAAGCCAAACCCAGTGGACGGTGTAGCCTGGACCGCGGAGCTGTTAGTGAGACTAAAGCCCCCGCCTGCTGTCTGGGCTGGAATGTTGCAAAAACTGAAGCCAGTTGAAGCAGCTGTTTGTGCGGGAGGCGCGACAGAGAGAGAGAAGCCGACGGTGGTGGAGGCTGTGCCTGGGGCCAGGGTCGGGCCGGGGCGGGGGTGTTGCTGAAGGAGAAGCCACCAGCCTGGCCGGAGGAGCTGCTGCCAAAGCCCAAGGTACCCTTGTTCATCCTGAAGAACAAGAACAATGCAGGAAGGTGACAAGCGATCACAGGTCCTCACAGCTATCACAGGGTACCTTCTGTGCCTCAACAGGGGTACCTGCTCTGAAAGCTTAAGCTTTAAGGGCTCACATTTCTCATTGGTGCATATAATGCAGCAAATTGTCATCCTACATAGTTTTTGTATCACACTGTGTAAACTAAGCAGCACAGGAGAGTGTTGGATAGTGAGCAGTGCAGCCATCCCATCCCAACATTCTGTTCCACTGGAAGCACATTCAGCCGGGAGTCAAGTATTATATTTTGCAAATTTGCAATTAACACACAAAACCAGTTGCAAAGGTTACAAATGACACCCAGACACCCTCAGCTTTGCCAAGTCCCCTCTCACACACAGCTTATGAAGAGAGACTTAAAGATTTAAAGTTATTTAACACTAAAAGGGAGGACATTTAAGAATAACAAGTAATAGATTATTCACATTGGCAGTCAGTGATGAGACACATTACAATAAATCTCAAAACGAATGCAATAGGAGATTATAAAATACTGCAGAGAAAGAGAATTCTAACCACTGTAGTGAAAGGAAAATCCCGGAAAGAAGTTGATTCTTAAGGAAAAGCAATATTAGAGGTTTTGGGAAGAGTGTGGAAATCGATTGGCTCATATTGAGAAAAATACCAGAGTAAATTGGATACTGTTTCTGTAACACTGAAGGACAGAAAGAAACCAGGAACCTAAAGCATCAGGTTCTCCTCAATGGGATGCAGTTTGATGTTATGGTGTTTACATGGCAGAGTATTTTGTTTGTTCATTCGGGTGTCTGACACACATGGAAACCCATCCCCAGGCTGAACAGCCTCTAAATTAAACTACAAAATATGCAGGAAAATTTCCATTTGTCTCTCTCGCACCTAATTCAAGCTCCAATTTCGACCTATTTGGAGATAGGACCTCTCAGCATCTCCGTCCAACACAGCTGTGAGCTCATCCCATCCGGAAAATGTTTGCAGCGGATCCCATCTGCCCAGCGAGAACAAGTGGCTGAGATTCAGCCCTTTCTGAAGAATCCTTGTGGTTTGACTAACACTCACTGATGGGCTGAATTTAGTCTCTTCAACTGCTCCCTTAGCAGTGCAATTTTTTAGAAGTAGTTTCTGACCAGTGCACAAGCGCTTTTGGTCATCCTTCCACCCCCCCCCTTAGGGACTATTTTAGTGAGCAGCAGCTTTGTGCCGCGGGCGGATTATTACACGTGTGCCGTGTGTATTATTACACGTGTGCCGTGCGTATTATTACACGTGTGCCGTGCGTATTATTACGTGTGCAGTGTGTATTATTATGTGTGCCGTATTATTACACGTGTGCCGTGTGTATTATTATGTGTGCAGTGTGTATTATTATGTGTGCCGTATTATTACACGTGTGCCGTGCGTATTATTACGTGTGCAGTGTGTATTATTATGTGTGCCGTATTATTACACGTGTGCCGCGTGTATTATTATGTGTGCTGTATGTATTATTACACGTGTGCCGTGTGTATT